CAGAGCTGGTCTGCGCGTCGGGGGTGACAGGGACCTGTGTTCCAGGAGCATTTGTGGGAACTGGAAGCCAGGGGAGAGCGGTGGACAGTCAGGGCAGGAAGGACGCTCAGATGACGTGGGCCTGTTTTTTCCAGAGGGAGGGTCTGCGGCCGAGGCGAGGCTGGGGCCTGGGCGGTGGGGACCCCGCTGCCCCCAGCCAGCTCGCCAGCTCTGCGGACGCCCGAGTTCTGGGTCCGCCTGGTGCTGTAGCGTCAGCCGCTCTCCTTGCCCCAGGCCCCAGCACCGAGCGCCCCTCAGCTGACCGCCCCGAGGAACTGCCCAGAGCATCCCAGTCTCTGCCTTTGTAAGAGTTTTCCATCCGGCGTCCTCTTGTCTACATGCTTTTGTGTCTCTTTAAGGGACTGCGTGAGCCCTTTTCCCATCATGCATTTGTCATCACGTTTCAATACCTGCCCAAATTCCTTCAGTTGCCTGGCCCACGGCCCACGGCAAACTTGGAGCCATTCCTCAGCTGTTAAACGGTTGCATGGATTCCAGCCGGCGCCTGGCTGATCCGTCCCCTAGGCCTCATCTCACTGATTCATGGTGACAGCGTGGGAGATCTGTATGATTAACCCTTTGTTACAGAGGAGGACTCTGAGGCTCAGAGAGGCTCAGTAACTTGCCCCAGGTCACACAGCTGGCCAGCAGTGGCAGTGAAGACCCACAGCCAGGCTTCCTGTCTCTAAAGCCCAGCGTTCACTTATCACCTTATCCTGTAGTTAGCGCTGCGGCTGACACTGTGTGTGTGGGCTTCTGTGGACGCTCACGGTCGTCTCCTTCACACAGAGTCCCAGAGACAGACGGCTGGGTCAGTGGGCAGGAGCCATTCGCACACGCCTTTGAGTCGGCGCCAAACGGCATTCCAGAAAGTGCCACCGATTGTCTTCCCACCACGGCCCGCCCCCTCCCGACCGTTTCTCAGAGATGACCATGGTTGACCGCCAAAGGGGGGCCTCTCGGGTCACCCACAGCTCAGAGCCCTTCATGACTCTCAGCTACTTGCTTAGGCAGATGGAATGTAAGGACAGCATATTGCCTTGATGAGGACTTTTAGCAGATGACAGAGGATGAGAGATGGTTGGACGGCTCACCGACTCCATGGACATGAGTTTGAGTAAGCTCCAGGAGTTGGTGATGGACAGGGAAGCCATTGGGGTCGCAGAGAGCCGGACACGACTGAGCAGCTGAACTGACTGTATTTGGACTCTATTTTTAGCAGGCAGAGGTCTGGATTTACTGTCTGGCCTTAACCCCAGGCACCTGGGCAGCTACAGTCCGCTCCGCAGCAGAGATGACCCGGGCGGGGGTGGGGGGCGCGTGGCACTATCGGGACCCAGCTCTCAGGGCAGAAAAGCTGCTTTTATTCAGTCTCCTGGTGCCTCCGTGATGTAGACTCAGGTTTAAAGGGGCACTCGATATCCCCCTGCACATTTTTCTCCTTTGAGGAATAGTCAGTGCCGTCATAGCTTTAAGAAGATAGGAAAATGAGCCAAACCCCAGAGCCAAGCGTGTCCGGAGCCAGCCGTCACTCGGGGCTGAATCGCTGCAGGCGGCATCTGCAGATGACAGCAGTTCTCCTGCACAGACCGCGGGGGGCCTGTTCCTCCCAAGTCGGGGTGCAGCTGCAGGGTGCACCGGTGCTGACTGAACAAAGGGGGCTCGCTCTCGCCCGGGAAGGGGGCAGATCCAGAACCGAGTGCTGGTCTCCGACCTCCCGGGTGAGTGACGTCAGTCCAACAATGACCTGGACGGTGTCCCCGCACGACTCGGGGCTCACGTCACGCGCGCTCGTAGGATGCCCTGCGCACTGCTGTCCTCCCAGCTCAGCAGACCCAGCCGAGGACGCGGGGCCCAGAGAGGTCAGGGACCTGCCGAGGGGCACACAGCACGGTGCACGGGGCGAGCCTCCATCACCCAGGCAGCCCCGGCGTCCCGGCTTTCAGCAGCTCAGCTTTATGTCCAAAGAGCCAGCCGCTCCTTGGAGACGTGGAAGGAAGGATTTCCAAGCCCGCAGGCGGCTGTGAGCACGGAATGGTACATGCAGCCCTGTGCCCTGGGCGAGGGGATGGGGGACGGGGAGACCCAGGAGAGGCCCACCGCCTCGGCCCGCGTGGGGCTGGGGGCTGAGCTGAGAGGGTCTCTCCCGGCAGGGCCACTGGAGCCCCCAGGTCGCCATGGGAGGGTGTGCCGTGGGCACTGACCAGTCCATGTGCTGAAAGGCGCTGCTGACCGGGCCGAGGAGAACCCGGCCCTGGGGATCCTGAGACCCTCTGGAGATTCCGATTCCCGGAGAGCTCTTCCCGAACCGACCAGCCTGAGGAGCCACCTGCGATGAAGGGAGGCTGCCCGACTGCCCTCGCCTCCCGAAACTGCAGGGCACCAAACAGGGCATATTCAGAGGTCGGGGCTCCCCATCAGACCCCAGGAGCTCCTCTCCCCCGCCACCATCCGTGTCATCAAGACTTGCACTGCAGAAGACTCTTACCCTCTCCGGGTAGTGATAACCTCCATGTAATAACAACATATGTGTTGCATTCTGATTTTCTGTGTTTATCTTGGCTGTGTGGGTCTTCGTTACTGTGCGGCTCTTCTCTAGTTTTGGCGGTCAGGGCTAGCTGCGGTGTGTGAGCTTCTCATGGCGGTGGTTCTCTTGCTGTGGAGCGCCGGCTTTAGGGCGTGCAGCCTTCAGTACTTGCAGCCCTCAGGCTCAGTAGCTGTGGCACACGGGCCCAGCTGCCCCGCGGCGTGTAGAATTTTCGCGGGACGGAACGCATGTCCCCTACATTGGCAGGTGGATTCTTTACCACTGGACCACCAGGGGGGCCCCATCATATGTGTTGTTCTGATAGCTTTGTACTTGTAATTTTTACTAGTAACTAGCTTTTTACTAGTACTAGTAAAGTAGTACTAGTACTACTTTGTACCAGTAGCTGTAATAACAACCCCATCCAGAATAAGCTATTAAATATTTACAGCCTTGTGACCATAAGAACCTAGACAGCATATTAAAAAGCAGAGACGGAACTTTGCTGACAAAGGTCCGTCTCGTCAAGGCTATGGTTTCCCCAGTAGTCATGTATGGATGTGAGAGTTGGACCATAAAGAAAGCTGAGCGCCAAAGAACTGATGGTTTTGAACTGTGGTGTTAGAGAAGATTCTTGAGAGTCCCTTGGACTGCAAGGAGATCCAACCAGTCCATCCTAAAGGAGATCAGTCCTGGGTGTTCACTGGAAGGACTGATGCTGAAACTGAAGCTCCAATACTTTGGCCACCTGATGCGAAGAACTGATTCATTTGAAAAGACCCTGATGCTGGAAAAGACTGAAGGTGGGAGGAGAAGGGGATGGCCAGAGGATGAGATGGTTGGATGGCATCACTGACTCAATGGACATGAGTCTGAGCAAGCTCCGGGAGTTGGTGATACATAGGGAAGTCTCGCATGCTGCAGTCCATGGGGTCACAAAGAGTTGGACAGGACTGAGCAACTCAACTGAACTGACCATAAGGAAGGGTTTCCCAGGTGGTGCTTGTGGTAAAGAACCTGCCTGCCAATGCAGGAGACACAAAAGATGCTGGTTTGATCCCTGGGTCGGGAAGACCCCCTGGAGGAGGGCATGGCGACCCACTCCAGTATTCATGCCTGGAGAATGCTATGGACAGAAAAGCCTGGCGGGCTATAGTCCATGGGGTGGCAAAGAGTCAGACACGACTAAAATGACTTAGCAGGTACGCACACAGCATGTCCATAAGAAATTTCTAATAAATCGAGTTCCACGGGGACTGTGGGGTTTTTGTTGTGGAACCAGTGGCGTTTTCCATCTCAGAAACACCCCTCTTGCAGATGGTTCTGTGGGTAGGGGGAGGGATGGAAATTGGCTTTCTAGGCAGAAGGGGGACGAGGTGAAAAGCCTGCTTTTACTCAGAGCCTGGCTCTGGGATTTTAAACAGAGGTCCATGGTCTTGCTTTGGCATCTCCAATCGACTAGTTAAAGTTACCCATTCTTAGACTTTCCCGGAAGTGATATCCTCTGCGATCAGTTAATCTTTAAACATTTATATGTATTTGGCTGTTGCGGTGTGTGAACTCTTAGCTGTGGGGTGTGGGGTCTAGTTCCCTGAGCAGGGCGCAGACCCAGTCCCCTTGCTCTGGGAGCACTGAGTCTCAGCCGCTGGGCCACCAGGGACGTTCCCTCAGTTAATGTTTCGATGGAAACGTTTACGCATTGATTCGAAGGCGGACTGCAGAGTGTTTTAAGACCCTGGCTTAGGGGCTGCGACGCTTGAAGACCCCAGACGGACCAGATGGCAGGCTGGTCCTCCGCAGGGAGGGGCGTGAAGGCTGCTGCCTCAGGAACCAAGCCTGGCTCCCATGTGCCCTGGGGCCTGTCCTGGGGGAAGGCACCCCCTCCCCACCCCGCGGGTCTCCCCAGTCCTCCCAGGGCAGGAGGTGTGTGTTAGGGTCAGTGCCTGCGTGCCCGGCCTGTCTCCCTCCTGCAGGGGGTCTGGCCTCATCCACACTGGGGGAGATGTGCGGGGAGTCAGGAAGCCTCACTGTGGTCTGGGGGTGATCATGTGTCCTTATGGAATCTTCCCATCCAGAACAGGGCCTAGCACATCATAGGTGCCCAGGTACCTGGGACCTCCTCCCCCATCTGGTATTTCTGTGCTGGGACTGCACAGCTGGAGGGGCTGGGGGCTCAAGGAGGCGGGGAGACCCTGGACTGGCCCCCCAGCACGGCCCCGTTCTCTTCCTGGGCCGCTGTCCCTTTCTAGAGGCCTCCACAAGGAGGTCCACTCGACTCCATGCTGAGGGGCCACAGCTGGAGTCTGAGCCTGGAGCCCGGTGTCCCAGGCGCCCAGCGAGCCAGCCTGAGTTCCCCCCGAGGCTCGTGTGTGGCCCGTCAGGACCTGGGAGCCGGTGGCCACCTGCTCACTCCGCTCCGCGTGTGTGTCCGCAGCATGCGGCTGTGACCTGGCCGAGGGTGGCTTCTTCGTGCGGCAGGGCGAGTACATCTGCACGCAGGACTACCAGAGGCTGTACGGGACCCGCTGCTTCAGCTGCGACCGCTTCATCGAGGGCGAGGTGGTGTCGGCTCTGGGCAAGACCTACCACCCGGACTGCTTCGTGTGCGCTGTCTGCCGGTGAGCGGGGGCCCGCCTCCCTCCTCCCCCTTCCCTCCTCCGTCCTGCCTGCTCCTTCCCTCCCTCCTCCTCCCTCCTTCCTTCCTCCTTCCCTCTCTCCTCCTTTCCTCCTCCCTCCTCCTCCCCCTCCTCCCCATCCTCCCCATCCTCCTCCCCATCCTCCTCCCCGTCCTTCTCCTCCCTTTTCCTTCCCTCCCTCCTCCTTCCCTCCTCCTTGCCATCCTCCTCCCCATCCTGCTCCCCATCCTCCTCCTCCTTCCCCCCTCCTCCCCCCACTCCTCCCCTCCCTCCTCCCCCCTCCTTCCTTCCTCCTTCCCTCTCTCCTCCTTTCCTCCTCCCTCCTCCTTTCTTCCCTCCTCCTTTCCTCCCTCCCCTCTCCCTCCTCCCTTTCCCTTTCCTTCTTCCTCCCTCCTCCCTTCTCCCCCTCCCGTCTCCCTTCCTCCTCCTTTTTCCTCTCCTCCCTGCCCTCTCCGTCCTCCCTTTTCTTTTCCTCCCTCCTCCTCTCCCTCCTCCTTCTCTTCCCCCTCCTTCCCCCTCCCTCCTCCTCTCCTCCCTCTTCCTTCCTTCCTCCCTCCTCCTTCTTCCTTTCCTCCCTCACCCTCCCTCCTCCTCCCCCTCCTGCTCCCCATCCTCCTCCTCCTTCCCTCCTCCTCCCCCTCCTGCTCCCCATCCTCCTCCTCCTTCCCTCCCTCCTCTTTCTCTCCCTCCTCAGATTCCATTCTTGGAAACCTGCTCATTTTATGCAGTAAGTTTTATGCTGCAAAAGCAATTTAACAAACTTATGGGTACCAGAGGGGAAATGTGGTGGTGGGAGGGATAAATCAGGAACTCGGGATGAACATACACACACTACTACCTAGAAGATAGATAAACCAACAAGGACCTACTGTATAGGACAGGGTACTATACTCAATATTCTGTGATAACCCATATGAGAAAAGAATCTAAAAAAGGATGAACGTCTATATACACACATATATAAGTGCATCACTTTGCAGTACATGTGAAACTAAAGTGAAAGTGTTAGTCGCTAACAAGGAGGGCTAACGCCAATGGCCGGCAACTCAGCCCTGCAGAGGGACAGAGTTTGCTGGAGAGGCAGGAGGCCCGCTGTGTGTGGCTTTGTGTCGGGGGTCTGGGCATCAGGCCTGTGGAATCCAGACCTGGGAAAAGCACGTGATCAAAGGGAGTCAGGGCACATGGTGTCCAGGTGGGGACAGCAGCTAGTCATCTCCAGGGTGGGCCAGGCCAGAACTGGGAAGTCTCAGGGGTCTTACATTCTGGTTCCATGTTTGGGTTTGTGAACCTCCTAGATTCTTTCACATCACAGCTCACAGTGCTAACCCCCATCGACAACTGGAAATGGCAAGAGAACCTCTTTCACCCTCTACTGTGTTTACTCACACAGTACCTGTGTTTACTGTAAAGGAGAAATGCCTGAAGGAATTCTGCCCACTGTCACAGGTCAGGTACTGAAGGGTGAATCGGGCTGAGGCAGTGTGTTGTTAACCGGCACCGCCCATGTCTTTGGTTACTCAGCTTCCCTATGTACCCCCATGTACATGTGAACTTTTTACAGCAGCAGAAGGATCCCATGTTTCTACCTGATAGATACATCAATCCTTTTATGTGTCCACCATTCCCCCCCAAATTAGATGACTCAGCCCCAAGTCATTGCATCCATCATGGGATCTGTTAATTATCCCTCCAATTCAGTCAGGCAGTCACTGAATATTGTTACCTTTAAAAGCTAAGTTGTAAAATTAACTTCCAATAACTTGTATATAAAAATAAAAATAGGAAGCAGGATAGAGAAAAAGAAAATGGTTGAGTATATACAAACAGACACACTCATATAATAGACATAGAGAAAATATGCAAAGCTACTATAGACATTGTTTCTGTAACTGGTCTCAAGATTTTTGCTTAATTACGGATTACAATTTTACTTCATCCTTGGTTAAAACCTGAGATGCTTTCGGTTCTTCACCTGGTGGTGTTACTAAAACGATCTCCCAGCGGTCTGTGTCTTGAATCATTCTACTCTTTGTCGTTGTGTTTTCCATTACCTTCTACTATTGTGTGGTGGCAAGAGTAAGGGTCCCCCAAAGATGTCCACATCCTAATGCTTAGAACCTGTGACAATACTGTTAGGAGACAAATGGGAATTAAGGGTGCTCATCAGCTGACCTTCAGATAGGGAGATTATGTTGAATTATCTTGTCTTAGTCTCACCATGATTCTTAAAAGTGGCAAAGGAATGTAGGCGAACCAGAGATGGCAGTGTGAGGACTCAGTGCAGCATTGTGGGCTGTGAAGGTAGAGGAATGAAGCCATGAGTCAAGAAATGCGGGTAGCCTCCAGAAGCTGAGAAAGAAGACAGACTGTCCCCTTAGAGGATCTGGAAGGATTGTAGACCTGCCAACATCTTGATTTTAGCCCAGTGATGCCTCTATTGGACTCCTGACTGCCAGAATTCTAAGATAATAAATTTGTGTTGCTTTAAGCCATTTAGTTTTAGTTTTGTAGTAATTTAAATTTTTTGAAATTTATTTTTAGCTGTGCTGGGTTTTCATTACTACACTTTTCTCTAGTTGTGGGGAGCAGGAGCTACTCTTCTCTTGTTGTGGAACATGGGTTCTAGAACACAGGCTCAATAATTGTGGCACACAGGCTTAGTTGCTCCATAGCATGTGGGATCTTCCCGGACCAGGGATCAAACTCATGTCCCTTGCATTGGCAGGCAGATTCCTTACTACTGTACTAACAGGGAAGCCTTGTGGTTAATTTTTTAAAGAAGCAGTAGAAAACTAATAAAGAGTGTCAAAGAAAGTTTTTATATCCACAGATTGTCCAGAAACCTGATCTGTAAAATAGAGAACCAATTAAAATCCATAATAAGTAGTCACTGAGTCACTTAAGAATTGTTAATTTTTTATTTGAAATAACAGTGTAATAGGTAGACAGTGTACAGCCACTCATTGTGCACCAAGAATTTCTTCTCACAGAACAGTGATGGATTCCACCCAAACTATCTGTCCCAGAGGACAGAGCCTTACTCATGGATACCACAACCTTCTTCGCCTTTTCATTTGCCCTGCATCTGCAAGTGCTACAAGCTGAAGAGCAGCATATGCAGAATGTACAATACTCGATACTCCACACCAAAAAATTTTAATCTCTTAAAACTACTAGCATCTTCATTCTCCTTTCAAAAGAAAATTACTTTCCCTCACTCTTTCCTAAACTCTTGCTTTGATGCCAACAAAAATAGGTTCAGATTTAACTATTTTATTAGAAGCAAAAAAATCTGAAATTGGGAAAACAGAGTGTCACTCTCCTCCTCTAAATTCATCCTTCAACTGCTCCAGCTGCTGAGGTGCTACACAAGTTGACGAAATCTCATTATTGTGTCTTCAACACCTTCCACAGAGATCATTAATTCAACCTAGGAAACATCCCCCCGCCAAACTCAGCAATCTTTAGCTTCCTCTTTTTAGACACAGTGTTCTGAACAAACTTATTTTCCCAAACTTTAGAATCTGGTTTTTCTCTCAGAGGCCAGTTTTAAACTTTCTCACACCATTGAATTCTCATTCACCTCTTTTAAGGACCTCCAGAATGGACAGCATCAACATGCTCTAGGATTAATATAGCCATACTAGAACCATATCCCATCCACAAGGGGGGCTCACCCATGCTGGAAAAGGTGGGACTGAAAGTTCAATCCTTTTATATGATGTAAGAAAGTCTCTCAGTACAAATCATTTGTTAAAAGCAAAGGTACAAGGCATTACCCGTTCACTGCCTCAAAGATGGCAAAAACCTAAGTTACAGAGATGGCACGAGCTTCATATCAGAATTACTAAATTCCTGAATTACATGGCACTTCAACAGAATATGACCACCTCAGGATCCATGAGGCGTTTACCCAGAAGCAGATCATATCCAGGCACAGGTTTTTTGACAGTGTACAAAATCAGTAACAAGACTTTGAAATCCTACAAGTACATTTTAAAGCATGTATGAAAAAAAAAATAAAGCATGTATGGTTTACTCATTGAGGAATAAGGCCACCATACTATAAAGTAAGTAAAAGAAATCTGGAATTAGTTTTATAAAGTTGAGTGAAGCTTTGTCAAGACTTCAGGTAAAGTTCTGGTCATCAATATTCCTTTTAGGCAGTGCAAGTGTCCCTCTGAAGAAAATGGCATGGTGGTCTGAGAGAATCAAGAACACTGTGCCAGCAGACAAACAGGAAAACGTGTTGAATTTCTTGCGGGCAAATCAACTTCTCCATTCTCAGGGTTTAAGCTTGATGGTATATAGCCCTTTTGGCATTAAGGCAAAGTTAAGCAAACAATCTGTAGACTTGATATGGTGTTCAGTCTCATCTATGGATGCCCAAGAGGATGCATAAACTACAGGCTTCATTTAGAATTTATTGCCAGGGCCCTAGCAACTATTGTTTTATTGCCAGGACTTCAGCAACTAGTTTTTTCATTGGTTTAGCCAGAACTTCAGAAACTGCTTTTTCCCATCAAACTGCTGAATCTGATCAGCAGAAGAGTAATTTTGTGTCTTTTGATGTTAATATTAATACACTTACAACGGAAAGGTATGAATGAATGTAAGAAAAAATGTGATCAACCTCCTTTACAAAATATAAACAATTCAAATATACAACAGGAAAATACACCAAGATACTCTACACACTATGGACGTGATTTTCCAACTTTCTGGAAGCTCGCCATCAAACTGCCACCTCTCTCCTCAGTTTTGGAAGAGATTATAGTTGAAAATTATCCCAGCATGGAAAAGGAAATAGTCAATCAAATTCAAGAGGTACAAAGAGTCCCATACAGGGTAAACTCAAGGAGAAACATGCTAAGACACATACTAATCAAACTAGCAAAAACTAAACACAATGAAAGAATATTAAAAGCAGCAAGGGAAAAGCAACAAGTAACATACAAGGGAAACCCCATAGGCTTAACAGCTGATCTTTCAGCAGAAACTCTACAGGCCAGAAGGGAATGGCAGGATATATTTAAAGTGCTGAAAAGGAAAAATCTACAACCAAGATTACTGTACCCAGCAAGGATCTCATTCAGAATTGATGGAGAAATAAAAAGCTTTTCAGACAAGCAAAAGTAAAGAGAATTCAGTACCACCAAACCAGTTTTACAACAAATGTTAAAAGGACTTATATTGTCAAGAAACACAAGAGAAGAAAAAGATCTACAAAATCAGCCCCAAACAGTTAAGAAAATGGCAATAGGAACATATATATCAATGATTACTTTAAATGTAAACAGATTAAATGCTCCAACCAAAAGACACAGACTGGTGGAATGGAAACAAAAACAAGACCCATATATATGCTGTCTATAAGAAACCCACTTCAGACCTAAAGACACATACAGACAGAAAGTGAGACGATGGGAAAATATATTCCATGAAAATGGGAAGCAAAAGAAAGCTGGAGAACCAAACCTCCTATCAGACAAAATAGACCTTAAAATAAGAGTACTACAAAGGACATGGAAGGACACTACATAATGATCATAATGGCTTGGAGGGAAAACTGGCTCCCTAACTTGCACACCACAACAACTGAACTGGATAAGATGAGGAAATGCGGAAAGTCAAACTGGGAAGGCTCTTTAGTGGTTATTGAGGAAGCATTCACTTTCTCAAACCAGAGCACCTGGACTCCATTGCAGCCTCCCCTCCCCCATGGATGTTCCTAAATGGTGCTTTGTGATGTCAACCATGTCAGGGCTACCATTGGCTGGGGAAATTTCTTGCTGACCAATCAGCTGACAGTTGTGGCTCTTCATTGTCCTGGGAAGGTATACATAGAGACCCCAGGCCCTTGGTGTAGGCCACTGTTTCTACAATATGGCAGACCTAACTGAGGAAGTGGAGGAGGAGGGGGAGGAGGAAGAAGAAGAAGAAGAAGAGCTGGCGATACACAGTGTCAATTTGGAGGAAGAGGCGTCGAGCTCAAAGCAGAGGAAGAGAAAGAATTCTGAGCCGTCGTCAGACGGCTTGCACCGTAAAAAGGTCAGATTACCCTATTCATGTTCTTCCTCTTCATCCCCCACCCAAGAGGCACCCTGCCCTTGCCTGGCACAAATCCCTCCTCAGTGCACACCCATTCTCTCAAAGTTCTCCTTCCCATCCTCCTTCACTAATGTCTTTTTGGATGACTTTGTTTTCTTACCAGCTGTTCAAGCTCATGAGGGAGGTAAGCTCGACCCTTGAGCAGATTCAGGAAGTGAGTGAGCAAGAGAAGAAGTCGACAATACTAATCTTCTACCACCACCCTCAGAATGAAAAGAACAATGAAAATCACCTGATGGCAGATGAAGAAATCCCGGAGGATTCTTCCAGCACTTCTCCCAACAATTCTCCACAGTAAGCCCCTGTGCCCACCTGGAGCCCAAGACGCTGACCAATTGCCTGCAGCTCCAGGAAAAGCAGTGGCAGAATAGGCATTTGTGCAGGGATCAAACATACAACGATGGTCCCCTCTGCACAGACCAAAGTACTCAGATCTCAATGATTAAAGTATCAACAAGTTGTAAAAAGATGTGTGTGTATCTGTTTTTTTGATGATGGGGAGGGAAGGAAGGGAAGGGTCAGGTGTGTGAGAGGGAGGGAGGTGGCATCCTTTCCGTTTAGGGCCCAGACCAGCCAGTCCATACTTACTCAGATACTGGGAATGAGGACTGGGTGAAGACTGAGAACTTCAGACTGAAGATTTCTGAGCACTGAAGATTTCTTCCTGAACACTTCATCCCACTGGTGAGAAGGAAAAGGACTTGGTATTTCTGTGTGTTTCAGAGGTCCCATGTGGGGAGAGGGGTTATGTAGGGTTGGTGGCCCTGTGTAATAATCAGATTCCACTTTTGATGTTTGACAATTGAGTTTTTACCCCTCATCAATGTCTGTTCCTCTTCTGGCCCACATTTGGGCAAGCTATAAAAGCAGCCAGGGAATAAAGGAACATGAAATAGAAACAGATATACCTAAACTTAACCACTGGAATTATTGCCTTGCCTACACTTCCCATAGCCAAAACATCCATTACCCCCATATAGCCTCTAGTACACGTGGATAATCTAACTCAATGAGTAATAAAATTAAGTCTTTGCCCCTATAATCACCTTTAAAATATGAGACCCTATGGACCTTTCCCCTTAGCTCCAATCACACTTTTCACCTCAGTTGTTTTTAAAAAGATTCAATCTCAGTGAAAGCAGGGTCTTTACAGATTGAAACCCATTATAGGAAAACTACTTAGCAAGGTGTGATTATCCCAACTTCTGCTGCACTTAACAAATTTTACTTGATCTTAAAGCTGTAAAACAAGAACACGGCCTCAGTGTGAACTTCTACGCTTGGTTTCGTGGCCCCACTCACTAGGGCTCCACGTATTTTGCTGATAATACTGCTCTCAACGAATAATTGGTAAATACTTTTCAGTCATAACAAAACATTTGGCTAGCATGCTGTTTTCACTGCCTATTTCAAAAACTTCTCAGCTACACTTAACCTTCACCTTCACAGGGAAACGATACACCTTTACCTGTCTACTCAATGGGGCCAGTGTCCACACCTGCCATCTCACACAGTCTCTGAAGGCAATATTTTCACCAGCTCTATCTTTTTCCAGGTACACAATTAGGACCTCACACTGATGACATCCTCCTTTGAGGAGATTCCTACGACACACACACTACACAATCCCACCACGTCAATTAAGTTCCTGAAAACGTTTTGGTAAGTGCTGGACTGCTCCAATCTTCAGCGTCCAGATACAGCTTTTAGGCTTCTTAGTACCCATACTGTTAAAACAAGCCCAACATGTTTTAGACATTTTTACATTCTGGAGGCAACATTTCCTCATATACACAGTTTTTGGCTCGGTAACTTCCAAACAGGCCCGCCTTGAATGAGATTCCCTATGTCAAAGATTCTAAATCTGCCTGAATTGCCATAGAACAGGTACTCCTATTAGGGTCCACTGAAACTCCTTCACTGTGCAAGCTTTAACAACCTTCTCTCATGTATCTTGGAGTCTCTGTACTGTCAACAATGGCTGTTAAGTTTCAGGGGCCTCTGATATAAGGAACTGCCCACCTTGGCCCCATGCTATATGACTGTAGTGTAGCAATTTTGGGTCTATGCTGGACTTGCCTGGAAATACAGACTATCTCAGGTCTTGAACCTATGACCCTCCATATCCAGCTGCCCATTTGGCCTTTGATTATGGAAGTATCACTCTGCAAGCTCAGCATAGCTAGTGAGGCCTCCTTGCTACAGGATGGAGCTGAACCTGGGTCCTCTGCATACCCTATCTTCAGGAGAGGGTACCTTCCCCTGTGCTCAGCCCCCCTCGGATGTCACACTGCTACAAGAGTTCTTCTGTGAGAACCCTTGGACACATGGGGAGCCTGTTAGGATCAAAACAGCAAAAACCAAAGGGAGTTCATTCCCTTAATCAATGCTATCGTCACTATCACACTTGATGGAGCTTGCTTGAGAGTTGCTGCTTTTCAGCTCTTCATCAGAATGTTCCTGATAAAGGACAGGCCCCAAAGGTCAGATCAAACAGCCAAACTTCAGGTAGCTACCTTAGCACACAATGTCTGGGCCAACAACTGGCCTCATCTTTACACTGCCCATGGGCTGACCATCTGTTCTGACCAAGTCAAACAACTCCTATCTGAGGTTGTCTCACTTAGGGTAAAGGCCTCATGGAATCTCTTGCATCCTGAGAGATTATACCCAAAATATAAATCAAGATCACACATTTTCTACACATATTAAAGTCACAATACAATGTCTCATGATGGCACTCCTTATTCTCTTTGGAGTTCTACACGTTGAATGAAACCTAGACACTCAATTTGCTATTCAGAATACAGAATAGTAACTCTTGAACAAGATATTCAATGGGACACCAACCTGCTTTACTGGTATCTTGCTGCAGTTGCCAAAATGTTTTCCATAAATAAGTCTAAATTAAAATAACTATTCAATTCTTTGTCAAACAAACATCATGGGTAAATTGTAATACAGATTGATCCCATTGTTTATTCAATTTTATTGAGTTATAATGGGCAAATTAAAATTGCAAATATTTAAGGTATAGAACTTCATGTTTTGATTGTCTATATCCATACCTACATCTATAGAATGAAAAAAAATTACAATCATCTAATTACCCATCACCTCACAGCTACTATTATTTCTCTTTTTTTATTGGCCTAACTCTATTTTTGATGCATAACTCATTATGTGAGTAACAATCATTTTCATATTTTCTTGATGTATGTGTGGCATCATTAGTCTTGACACTGAGATGAAATTTGGGATGGGGGGGGGTGTACGACGTTTCACTTCTATGAGATGACATCAAACTCCCATAATTCACAAAAGCATATATATTTGTGTGTGTGTGCATATACATATGTATATATACATATGAGTATGACACTTTAAGAAAGATACTAGTATTTCAGGAAACAAATATGTCTTGAGTGCCTAGGAAGTGTCAGATATTGTTGGTTCTGGACTTACAGAGAAGGACGTAAAGTCAATAGTTCTTGCCATCAAGTAATTTCTATTTTCATGGGCGAAGGGGTGGTTCATGGTATTGGTGTGGGGCAGAGAAGAGCTGCTTTGGCTAAAGGGTGTGGGAAAACCTTCTCTGAGGAGTTGATATCTGAAACAAGATTTGAAGAATGAGATACAGTCAGTTGTGTGAAGATTTGGAAGAAGAGCATTTTAGGGAGAACAGCAAATTGCCATGTCATGAAGCAAGAACAAGAAGAGTGTGCTGAGGAACTGCCAAAGGCTGAGTGTAAATCGAAATCAGTCAGAGAGGAGCAGAGCAGAGAGAAGACTGAGACCGGAGAGGCAGAGAGGAGGTCTTGTAGGGACTTGTGCGCTAAGAACGGGGATTTCATCTTACGTGCAGTGGAGGGCTGCTAGATGGTTGATAAAGAAAGTGATAGAGTCTGATTTATGTCTTAGGAAGTTCACTGACTGTTGGGAACTCTGTAGGAAAAGAGGACTCTCAGGCTCTTGGCACTACAGAAGTATGACCTGATGATGACTGAGACTACTAGGGTTGTAGCAGAGGGAATATAACAGTATCTAGTTGAGCAGTTGGGACCACAGGATGTCAAATCTAATCTCAATTTATAGCTTCACCACCTAAAAGCTATTTGACCTTGAGTAAGTTTCTTAACTTCTGTAACACTTAGTTTTCTCATCTGTAAAATGGGAATGATGACAGCATGTATCTATATCTGAGAGTCATTCTGGGATTGAATGGGACAATTTATGTAAAACACCTGATATTATATTAGAACAATAATATGCATAGGAATAAATGGCTTCTCCTTTTATCAATAATATAAATATGTACATACATACATATGTACTTACATACTTCTTGCTTCTTTCTCCCCTACACATCCCCACAAACCTAGGATGTCCTCTGTCAGCTGCTGTTAAGCCGTGAGGAATGAGCCCTTGTTTTTTCCCTGAAGACACAGTACTTGGGGGTGCCTTTTCTCAGTGGTTAGGCATAGGTACCTTTAGATAGTAAATGTCTGTCTATGGGCTATGATTAATTTATTTAACAAGTAGCAGTAGTATCTGATCTCTAACATTCTCTTTCTACCTAATGAGTCATTGCTGGCATACCTACTCCATTTTCTCCAATCTCTTCCATGGGTCCTAAATGAACAGCAACCCATATTTCTTCCTTACCTGCAAACATAACATGCTTAACTGGTTTTCCATATGATGGTAGAAAATCAAGTCCTGGTCTGACAGTAGCTCAGATCATGAACTCCTTATTGCAAAATTCATACTTAAATTGAAGAAAGTAGGGAAAACCACTAGGCCGTTCAGGTATGACCTAAATCAAATCCCTTACGATGATATAGTGGAAGTGTCTAATAGATTCAAGGGATTAGATCTGATAGAAAGAGTGTCTGAAGAACTACAGACAGAGGTTTGTCACATTGTACAGGAGGTGGTGATCAAGACAATCGCCAAGAAAAAGAAATGGAAAAAGGCAAATTGGTTGTTAGAGAAGGCCTTACAAATAGCTGTGAAAAGAAGAGAAGCTAAAGTCAAGGGAGAAAAGGAAAGATATACCCATCTGAATACAGAGTCCCAAAGAATAGCAAGGAGAGACAAGAAAGCTGTCCTAAGTGAT